CTTTCGGTAATGTCACGTTCATGAATATTAATGAGGGCAGCTGTTCGATGTGGAGTTACGTCAATGAGGTGGGAGGGTGTTCCATGTAGAGTGACGTCACCTGCTGATGATTATTAATGAGGGGGGGGGGTCCATGTGGAGGACGTAACCTGTTCATGATTATTAATGAGGGTGGCTGGTCGACGTGGAGTGACGTCACGAGCGTTGCACACAGATATTCTTGGCTCATAGGTCATGATGATGAGGGGGGGGTGTCCATTTGTATGACGTTACCTGCTCATGAATATTAATGAGGGGGGCTGTTGGATGTTGAGTGACGTCACGCGCTCATTATTATTAATGATGGCTGGAGAGGGTCTCCATTTGAATTATTCTTAAATTTAGACTTGAACCTTTCGTGACTGCAGGAATTTATATTCTTGGCACTTTCGGTGAAGTCACGTAATTAGGAAATAAAAAATAAAAAAACCCACGACGTTTCGATCGCAACACAAGCGGCCTTCATCAGGCGACCGGTCGTGGTGTCTAGATGTTTTATTTTCCATTTACGTGACTTACCGAAGGAACAAAGAATTTAAATTATTATTGCCCACGAGTCAAATGCAGAGGCCGTACAATTTAAAGCGGGCGACACATTCCTGGTTTTTACAAATGCTTTGGAGAGGCTGGGATAAGTCGTTCCGAAATCACCAGGGACTGTCCCGGCCATAAAAAAAACAGGATGTGATTGGTTGGCTTCGGTTTACGTGAGCTTGTGCATGGAACATCTGTCCAACGGAAGAGGATATTGAGGACACGCGTGGACTTATGATATTACGGAAATGGACCAAAAAGTAATCAAGTGAAAAAACATTGAGCAACACACACACACTAAACACGTGCTAAATCTACACTGGTAACCGCAGTCCCTTTATACAAAGAAATTTATTATTCACATGATATACAGTTATGTACATGACACATACCTTGTCACCAACAAAAACAATTTCAAAACGTGATCAGGTTGTTTTTCCTCTTCCAAATACTCATACACATCACATATCACGGACGTAATATGGCGAATGACTCAAGGAGAACGCACGGCAATTAAAATTACTGACAAAGAGAAGCGAAACCCCTTCCCACCATTCGCTCCACATAATTTAGTGCAAGCCCAATAATGCGTCGAGGCGGGCGGAATTTTGTCTGCGTTTCGAAACGAACACGTGGCACAAAATAAAATGAGGCCGCTTCTACTGCTGCCATATATATTATTTATACTTAATCTCATAGCGGGGGGTTCCACCGGGCTGGACGCAATAGCGTGACATTTCGTTAAAGATTTTTCCTCTTCTTTCTCAACTTCTCCTAAGACGTGCGCTCCTTAACGGCACGAACACAAAAAGTGCACCGTGGCAAAATGGACTCTGTGTGATAGCGCTAACATAGGGTTGGGTTGGTGGTAGTTGCAGTGTTGAGAGACAACAAAGACAAAGATCCCCCGTATAGCCTTGACATACTGTTAGGGCAAGTGCTGTTAGCGAGCACCTATGAAGGCCGACACGGCACACGAGGGGGTGGGTGGCACAGCACCACGCCCGGCCGCCTTTGCCCCCACCTCACCCCCCCCCCCAAGTGGCGAAGTTTACACACCGCACCAGGTACTCATTTGAGGCTGAGTCGACCTCGGGGAGGCCCATGATCGGTTAAGATAATCGTCGTTGGCGTGAGCGGGAATCGAACTCGGGTCGCCGGGTTCGTAGCGCAGCGGGCTAAACCGCGCCAACCGCTACACTACCGCTCCGCAAAGACACACACACACAAGCACATCCCAGGAGAGATAATATCCACACACAGGTATGAGACACAGACCAGGAGATAGACATTTCAACGCACACGCACACATAAGGAGATACACACACCAGGAGACAGAGGAACATACTCACACACAGATATAAGAGACCCAAACACAATTTGGATAGACATAAAATCACAGTTATAAGGAGAGAGAGACACACACACACACCAGGAGATACTGAGACACGCGCAGCCACTCGTTTCCTATTTTTCCATTCGTCTTGCGTGTCGCTCCGTTAGGCAAAATTCACAGCTACAGAGAGCGGAGCGACACGCGTGACCGAGCGGAAAGGTCACGTAGAGCTCGATGGCCCACGGGACCCCTAGCGACAACCCGGGACCACTATCACCACAACAACCGCCAACCCCCCCGGGGGACTAGCACGTGGACGCCGCGTGGACCCACGTGCACTCCCCGTGAGCGCTGTCCCCGATGCACATTCAAAGAAGGACTTTCAATGGATATGCTGCATGCACGCCGCCGTGACGTTAAAGGGGGGCTCGAACGGTTCTTGTCAAGCCGTCCTGCCCGAGCGAGCCTTTTCCCACTTGCACAACCCCTGGAGATTAACTCGGCGAGCTCCCCTGTCTCGCACAGCCGTCCGACAAGCATTTATTCCCCCCCCCCTCCCCTCCCGCCGTCTCGAATGCAAATGCTGCGGCATTACGCATGGACGGGCCCGCGGTGGTTAACCAACTCCCCCCCCCTCCGCCACAATAATGCCGAGCGGGGCAAGGCGCCCTCGGTCATTTTCCGCGCGATACTGGAGGTGGGAAGAGGGGAGGTGGGAGGAGGGGTGGTTGGCGGGAGCACAAATACATTGTTCATCAGACACGTTATCAAACACGTGCGTAGGGAATTTGGTCTGCGTGGCCAATTATTCCCACCAAAGGCTCACCGCGGCTTTCGCTTTCAGACGGCGGCGGCAGCCGTCAATTCGTGCGCTCGTTTGCGAGCGTGTGACACCACGGCCGGTCCCCTCTTTGAAGTGAGATGTGTCCCGATAGGGCACCTCATTTACTTCCAAGTTTAGACCACCGACGGCGTGTCCGGGACGCTGAGTGCGCCGAGAGCCGGTGACACGTTGTGGACACGATGGCTTAAGTAGCACTAGGTAGGGCGTAGGGTTTTCGCGGTTGTGCCTGTAACCAGCTGTCCCGATGTGTTTTCGGGTCCGTACCGCGCGCTACTTGACAAGGCAATCGGCTTCATAACCCAGGGGAAAATAAAACACCAACAGCAGCCACCAACGCCCTATAATGACGCTGCTCAATCCAGCTCCTTAACAAGCTCTCAACACGTGGTACGAAACGTCTGACGTAATGCCGAACAACACACGGTACAAACCGCAAAACCCATCGAGATTGCCGAGAGCCTGCTATGAAGTCAGCCAGAGGTGCGGGATAAGTCCTGTTATGGGGTAACAATGCTGTCCGCGTAGGTATTTTTACCCAGGTCAGGTGTGCACACGCTTTGACATCCTTGAAATTAAAACTACAGTACTTGCTTTCGCCTGCACTTGGGTCACAACCAGCGTGGTAAAGAACACGAGGAGGGGACAACACTGTATTCCAAGAACGAAGGCCCTGTCAACGCTACAAGCCAGCACGTTTACTTTTGCATTTCGCAGCCGAGCCCAGAAATCTAATTACAGGTTTCAAACTGAAAAGAGCATTTGCCGGCTCACCGTTAATGCCTGGTTTGACGCAATTAACACAAAATAAAAGTGCTCATTGCAAGCTTGCAATCTCCGTCTGGGCTAACCCAGCGGTGGCTGCTGCAGGCGGGGAAATGAATTTCACAAAAAAAATCGCACAATAGCCGTTCTCAAAACTCCACCTCCTCGTGTTCCCCGGACGAGAGCTTTACCCACGCGTGCCGATCAATCGGCGCCCCGCGGATGATGCGTTTCACCCAAATTCATACGTCAATTGATGGCGTGCGTATCGAAGGATCGATTTGTACCGGAGAATGGAGAAGATTGGCTGCTGTGGGTAATGGGGTTTTGGGGGGGGGGGGGTGGTGGTGGGCAAGGGGGGAGGGGAGTTGAGGGGCTGCAAGGACTGAGTGGGTGGATCTACCAGATCAGCCCACGGTCACGGAAGGTTTCCGCCGAAGCGTGTAACCATCCGCGCGGATGCCTGCAGTTGCCGCCGCGTCCTTCTTAAGCGATCTCCCTCCACTCCCCCCGCCCCAAAGGGCGCATTGAGAATATTGATATGGAAGGCGGGAGCCAATCGTTCAGCGCATTGGAAATGAAATGACACGGCGCGCGGGAAAAAAAATACAAAATGGGGGGCTCCATTCAATGTCACGTCCACGGGAAATGAGAAATAATCCTGCGCGAGGAACAGCACCGAATGGATTTGAATTTCATAAAACACCACTTCGTACCACACGTGTTGCACATAGAAATTAATTCATTAACCCCCCCGCCCCGCCTGCCGCCCCTTCCACCCCGACCATCTGGGAATCTTATACAGAGACCCCACCACCAATTTCGAACCGGGGGGGTCAATGAAACGTTAAACGACAAACAAAAAATAAACATCCATCGACGACCTGTACTGTTTGGACTACGGTGTCGTTACAAAAAAATACAATCTCATACACAGCATGTTTTTTTTTTAGACGACACACCTTTGTAAATCACCCCAAGACAAGAGTGGAGAATAAAAAAAAACAATTATGAGCATCAGAAGAGAAAAAAACCCTAATTATAATTGAGACTACAATTTCCTACATTGAAAAAAGCATAAACATAATCAATAAACAAACTAACGAAATCGCCGACACCAACGTGTTTATACAAATTGCAATGTTCATCTTATACAGCTCCAGCTAACAATATGATAAATTAAAGGGGTTGGTGATTGTTATTATTTTTAAAGGGCACGAAATGAGAAAACTGATATTGCAAGAACTGCCACCGCCACGTATCATATACAGACACACAATTACCACTGTAGCCTCGTGAGATTCACTACTAGCCACAGCATACGGACAATCAGAGTATCTGTTAAATATGCAGTGTTTGCAGTACATTGCGTACATTTATACACGATGGTCACAAAAGTTTTAGGCTGTAAACCAACAAAGGTTTCCCCATGATCAGGTTATAAGTGCGAATTCCAGTCAGGATTTTTCCCTCCGTCATTCGTTCGTTCGTTCGACCCCGTTATTCCTTCTTGGGGAGTGGCGGGGGGGGTCAGCAAGACAGCACAACAGAGTGAAAAGTAAACAGCAAAAGTGCTACGGACTGCCGCAAAAACGTGGAGTCGCCACCACCCCCACGCCCGCTAATGAATCGGTGCCGATTTAAAAGCAGCACCCAATGCCCCTCAAAATGTATTTCGCGCTGATAATTAAAAGGGCCCCCCCCACCACCACCACCGTCATCGCTCCGTTCGTGCGCGACATCCCGGGGCGCTGAGCGGTCAGGCGATGCCGTCACTACCCACGGACCCCCCCACCCCCACGATGCGGACAGTTAATGAAGTGGTGGTGGTGGTGAAAAAAAAAGATGTGAGCGTTCATGTAATGTTTCTTAATTATTACGCTTTTATCGTGGGCGACGTGTTTCATCGCAGCGTGTCTGTTATTTTTTTCTATGTATATTTCTTTTTTGCTCCTGTAAATGGATCAAAATCGCAAGCGGTCCCAAGGCAAGGCATGCACACCCGCGTAAGCTACCCCCCCCCCCCGCGTCACATGATTCCACATTGCCCCCCCCCCCCCATCAAACACGCTCCGCAAAATCTGGGCTCGCCATCCTTTAAAGGAGTCACCACGTGGCACCGCGGGGGCATTTATTTATTTTCACAGCGTTACACGCCAGAGGACCGGGGGGCGGTGTTCCTCCAAATGTCGCTCCCTCGTCCACCATCCCAGCCGTCTTTGCACTCCACTCGAGGGGAAAAAAATAAATTCCGTGCACGTTAGGGACAACACATCGGTGTTGGTAACCCCTGCACAGAAACAATTCTCATCAGCGCCAGGGAACACGCAACGGCACGGCTTAGCGCGAAAGGCTGGGAGCTCAATTCTCATCACCGGACCAACGCGGTCACTTTGGCGGAAAGCATTTAGAGAATAGAGGGACTGGCTTTACCACCGGGGTCATATTTGGGCCCTGTGGCGTCACCCAATCACACGAGGCGGTGGCTCTGCTGTTTGCAGCAAATAACTACAGAAAATGGGTTTTGAAATGTGTTTTTGCTGGCAGAACGCGAGGCCCTTTCCCATTGCTCAAGAGTGCACACGCATTTCACTTTTTTTTTTTTAAAAACACACGTTACGAAAAGTAAAAAGATGGAATTCCACGTTGAGAATAGGCTAGAACGTAACGTACGGATTGTGTAACTTAAAAGAAAAATATCGTTGTAAAAATGTCCCAATTGCATTGGAAATATATATATTTTTAATCCCTCCCCCCCCCATACCCCCATCATTTGAAGCGAAAATATCTGCAAATAACATTACGGAAATATCGGATAGATAACATTCGCCTGGGATTTTTTTTAATCGAAAACAAATTTGTTTTATGATCACAACATGGCACGACGCCAGAACCCACCAGAGCAGCGACTCTTTAAGGTGATTATCGCACACGTGGAAAACAACGCAGTGTACAGCAAGACTATCCTGGCGGGGTGACGGGGAAAGGGAGGGGGGGGGACACAACACGTGTCGTATGACATACCGAACTTTAGACGCACACGGTCCCCTCAATCTGCCTTCAGCTCGCCAAGTAGAAACAACAGAACCCCACGATTGGAGCTTGAACCAACCGCGTGACTAAAAAAGGCAAAATGACGACCGCCCAAGAACTGCGTGCTGAACGGGAAGACTTCCCAACTCACGAAACTAACGAGCAGCAGTGGCGGCAGCGGCGGTGGCAGGACGTGTCTCTTACCCCGCAACAGTGCCCGCATTAAAACAACATTTGATTGGAAAGAACACCGACGGCTGATACCCATTAACCGGAGTCCAATCTCTTGCAATCGACGTTATTAAAGTTCACATTGTCTTGCACGTGTACACAACGATAAAATGGAAATGAGGAGAGTGACACCGTCAATATCCGGGGCTTGAGCGGCTGGCTCCATAAAATAATGTGAAGTTATCGTGTGTAGTAGTAGTAGTAAAACTAAAACAATCTTCTTACACGGAGAAGGTTGTGCGATCTGCAAGCTCCTTGCCTGTCTTTTTGGCTCCGCTGGGCAGCTGCTGCTGCTGCTGGAACCGGACCGAATGTGGGCCTCACTGCACCGGCACAAGGGTTTCGCTTTGTACGCTCACCCCGTTACCCGCCAAACGTCGTCAATTTCCGCGCACACAAGCCTTCAAATCACGACGACGCCCTATTCTGCCCGTAGAGTGCACAACCGCAAACGTTGCACCGCATTGCAACAATACAGAGGGTCCACGCCCCCCCCCCACCTCCCCCCGCTTGACGATACGCCAGGTTAAGAGAGGCACGTTTTCACGTTTACAAAGCAGCAACCGCTCGACCCTTTCTCGTATCGCTTGGCAGGCAACGATTAGCCGGGCTGGAGCAAGCCGGGGCTCAACGGCAATGTAAGTCACAACGCTTCTCCCTCGAACATGTCCCGCTTGTCTGAGCGTTGGCCCAAGGTCCCCACCACACCCCTCTACTGTGGTTAAGAACGAAAAGTGGGAAAGGGAAAAAAAAACGAAGCGACGTTTTTTTTTTTTTAAAATCATGTCCTTGGATTATCACGCCGCCGCGAGGGATCACGATTCATCCGGCATTTGTTCCGATGCCGTTTTTGATTTCGACGGGGATTTATAATTCGCTTCGCCAAGGAATGTCGTCAACGCGGAGCGGAAGAAAAGTATTAAGAAGTAAAGTCCCGATACGTTTGACACTTTGCAACCAGTTTTACGGGCATCGACGTTCAGTCTTTTACAGTGACGGTGTAAAAAAAAAAAAAAAATTCTCAATGATGTCCCGTTACGAAGGGAAACGCGTCGCACAGTGGCTGCGCTGTTGGCTTGACTTCCTGACGACGACGACGACGTTCCATCCTGGTGTGGACTTCGGCGTGCGAGCCGAGCACGGCGCTCGTTCACTCGCTCACTCGCTCGCGGGCGAGAGGCGAGGCAAACAAAACAAAGTCACCGTAATAACCAGGCCACAGACCTACGGTCGTTCAGTGAATTATTCGGTTTTTTTTTTTCTTGGCCCGTCGATTTGTGCACGGAAGTAGCGGAAATTCCAAGGGGCCGTGGTTGTGAACGTGTCCCCCGTCATATCACTGTTTCGTATGCGGGAGGTAAGTGGACGGGTGTTTAGAATCAAAAGTGAGGTTCTTGCGCTGGTCCCGTTCATCATCAATGATAATCATCATCATCGTCATCATAATAAACAAAAAAATATCAAGGACAAAGTTGACTTCGATATATTTTCAACGTAGATTTTGCTTGATGCCACTATTGAGGCATTTGAAACCTGCTGACATGTGCACAGATCTCACCACGCACACACACAACCAGTCCATTCCACACGAATCCAAAATGCTTAATATACTCAAGCGTTAAGTACACCACTACACTGTAATACTCCGCCCAAGTACTGTACACAGAGCTTAACTAACTTCCAATGTTTTTGACAATGTCACTCTACATTTTTTTATTTTATTAATAACTGACAAAGAGGTTATTTATCCTTTGAAAGATTAAGACCTCTGCGGTCCGTGTGTGCAATGTTGAGTGCATTAATACCATAATCCCTAATAAACTGTACACGGGGAGAGAAAAACGAAAAGGGGGGGTTGTGTGTGTGTATGTGGTATGGAGATCAATCCGCCTGTGTGGTGTGTGTGTGTACGATGGCAGGCAGCAGTGGCACGCATTGCCCGCTGCAGTAAACGCCACGAAAAACGTGGCCCAACCCCCCACCCTTCTCGTTAACCCACAATCGCCGGACAGACATGAGACAGGAAACAACCATCACACCCCCCCCCCCCACCCAAACCCCACCACCACCATCCCCAAAATCTAACGCAAACTCTAAAGAGGGGGGGGGGGAGGGGAAGGAAACACAAAAAAATCGTAATCCGCTTTGCGTGCCCCGCTTGGCCCGCCGTTCAAATCCACACGACGTCGCAGTCCGGCACGTTCCTCTCATTGTCTCTCGCTCTCTCCTCGTCGCTTGGGAACTCGCGTGGAGTCGTCGCGGTGGTGGGGAGGGTGGGTGGGAGGAGTCGGTGGTGGTGGGGGGGGTGGATAAGGTTGTGGAGGCCCAGGCCGGCGAGAGCCAGGCCCTCGTGTTGCCGTCCAATCCTCGGAGAGCTGGCCGCCGCGCGGGTCGAGGGTAGGGTAGCGGCGGTTCGCGGCACGGCGCTCACTGCACGGGCGCTGCGGCGCGGTGCGGGGCGGTGGCGCCCGCGGTGGCGTTGGGAGGGTGCAGCACGGGCAGCGGGTGAGCCTCGGTGTTCAGCACCCAGTGATCCAGCGGCAGCAGGTCATCCTCGGAGAAGAGCAGGTAGAGGTACCTGCCGAACAAGACGCAGCCATCACCGGGACCGCGCGGGGCCATGGCGATCCCAGTGGGGCCCCCCCGCAACAGGCTGAAGGGGCCAGGATGCTGGGGCTATCTGGAGGGGTTCAATTGGACGGGGGGCGGTGGTGGGGGGCTGGGGGGCTTTCACCCGCCGCAACGGGGCCCATTCCAACCACGCTACGACGCGGTCCCCCAGCCACCCGCCGACGTCAAATAGCGGTGCCACCCCTGGCGGCAAGGTCAGCGGTGTGTCCTTACCAGCGGAGACTTTGATTAACTATTTAATCGAACAAAGACGGTCACTCGCATCGCGCGCTTGCAGATGCGCTTCTGCGGCCGGTCTGGAACGCCCTTCCCTCCGATATTAGGAAGCGACTGGAGCAAGATGCACTTTTAAATCTATTACTGAAAACGAATTTCTTTCCAACAGCTTTTTTGCGTAGAATTTATTGTGCCACGCCCACCCCGCGCCTCCGATTAGCGCGGTTGGCTACGTACGGTGTGAAAGAAGTTCAACGTACATACACACGTACAAAGGTGCAGCCCTGCAACTGCCCACACCCCCCCCCCCCCCCGCAGGTGGACGGTGCCTTTCCACCAGAGAGAGCTCTACAGCTTTATTTTTTTTACCAGGTAAGGCCCACTGAGCTCTACAGCTCTTTATCAGAAGCAACCTGGCCACCAATGTCGATATTTAAAGCAGCCAAGCGCTCTTAGCACGTCGACTCTAAATGTGGAGGGGGAAAACCCGGAGGGACCAGGAGAAAAATCCACGCGACCACGGGGATAGAGACGCAAACTCCAAATATACAGGAATCAAGGTCGGGATCGAACCCACGTCCCTCCTTCATACCAGGTGAGGTAGTTAACACTTTCACGTTCCGAGACGTCTCAGAATGCGCGCAGGCGGTTCAGCGTTCATTTTATTTGGAGAGGCGTAGCGCCGTTGTTTTGCGAGACATTTCTACTCACCGCAGAGAACCGTCGCGACACGACCCGCCTCTACGATAGCTGGCGCAAAACTGTGCCACGCGCCCTCCCCCGCATTGGCCTTGTGGGAAGCCTCGGTATCGATAAAGCTATTTTAAATTTTGATTTAAAGCTTTCGTGATTGCAGGGATTCATATTCTTGGTTCTTTCGGTAAAGTCACCACGTAGAAGGGAAACAATAAAATAATAAAAACATAAAACAATAAAATTCTCACGACGTTTCGACTGCAACACAAGCAATCATCATCAGAAAATTTCAAATTTTCTTGCTGTGGTTTTCACACCTGATGATGATTGCTTGTGTTGCAGTCGAAACGTCGTGAGAATTTTATTGTTTTTTATATATTTTTTATTTTATTGTTTCCCTTCTACGCGACTTTACCGAAAGAACCAAGAATATAAAGTACAGTTGTCCCTCACTATAACGCGGTTCACCTTTCGCGGCCTCGCTGTTTCGCGGATTTTTTTTAGTGTAATTTTGCATGCTTTTTTTTTCCTGCGTACAGTATGAACGCGCATTGTGTTCGGCGTCCTGATTGGCTAAGGGAGAACCGCACATGTGTTCTGCGTCCTGATTAGCTAAGAGAGTACAGAATGCGTTCGGCTAGCCAGATTTACAAAAATGTTTGGGCTTGAAAACAGGTTTTGATCTTTGGTTTCATTTACTAATATTGTACTTATTTTTTTAAATCTGCGAAAGTTTGAACTTTGAGAGTGTTTAAATAAGTGAGAAATGTGAGAAAATGTTAATGCCTGTCTGAGAAAAGTGTATAAAAGTGTGTGGTTAGGGGTTTTACGGCCTTAAAACATGTATAATAATTGTAAAAAATAAAGCTGATCACTTCGCGGATTTCGTCTATTGCGGGTTATTTTTAGAACGTATCCCCCGCGGTAAACGAGGGACCACTGTAATTTTGTTTAAGTTTTTCTTCCAGTTCCGTTCCGATGACGTACACACGTACACGTACGTCATCGTAACAGAATCTGAAGAAAAACCGATGACGTACGGACGTAGTGTACGTCATCGTTTTTTGACGTACACTACGTCCGTACGTCATCGGAATGGGAGAGGGTTAACATCTCGCCACCGCGGGCAGGCGCCAGTGGCCGCGCACGCAACTCACTTGAGGGTCTCGGCCAGGAAGAAGCTCTGCTGGACGTCGTCGTGCATGGGTGACCCCGAGTACACGTCCTTGACCCCCGAGTAGCCTCCCGACACCTTGCAGTGCTGCTCGATGGCCTGCCGTGGGGTGGGGGGGGGGCGGGGGACACGAGGAAGCGGAGCATCAGCAGAGGCTACGCACGCAGCGACTCTAAAGAGAGGCCAGCGGAGACCAGAACTTACGAAGACACGAGGTGACAGAAATGACCCGATGATTTTTTTTATATTTTTTTGTTTCCTTCTAAAAAGATTGGGATTACAGCACACAGCAATCATCGCCAACCCCTCCCCCTCCTCTAGCACCCGCCTTGACAGAGAGTACACGAGACCCGGGCGAGGAATTCCCACGGGGTAAACTAGCGTAGCAAAAGTAAGAGCATGGCGGGGGGGGGGGGGTTGCTCACACACTCTCTTGTGCACACAGAACAAGAAAATATAACCCACCAGGGCGACAATCGTACTACGACTGCTCACTTGTTCTCTACCCAAGTTTTTCTGTTTACGACTCAACGGACACACATGGGAATACATTGATAAGCAATGTACTCTAAATCAGTTTGACACGTAGTAGCAGTAGCCTTTCGCGACCAATATTATCCATAATAAAGGTTTTTTTTTTGGGGGGGTCAGATCGCGTAAATATAAATGCGTCGTTAAGACCGAAACAGGAGGACTTCTTCACAATTCCTGCTATCGCCTGATGAAGCTTCCTCTCCCAACACACCGGCTATGCTAAAGAAATAACTGAATTGGCACGTTTTGTTTACGTGACAAACCTTACTAATTGGCTGCGTCGGGTGGCGGCGGGTTTAACGACACATTCAAATTCACGCGAACCCCCAAAAAAACCTTTATCATGGTACTTAAAATCCGCAAATAAACAAAGATGCAGTTTTGTTTTAGAGAGGACGTGACCCCGGCCTAGAGAGCAAACAAAAACACTTGATGGGCCAATAGATTGACCGCGATTGCTCACTGGAGACACGTCCGGACAAGTAGCTGAATTATAATTTTTTATGATACCGTGGGTAGAGCAAAGAAACCCAAAATTAGAATTCCCCAGCATGCGTAACAAGTGGTGAGCGATCGCTAAACTGGTCCTTGGCACACCCCTCCCCTATCACCAATCCACACTAACCAGCACGGTGGAAGTGTGGTCAAACAACTCCCACGACTTTAATCTAGCAGTGAATTGACAAAGTCATGAAAATGATCACGATCATCATTCTACTACTACCGCGGACACGACTGTGATGTTCGTCCATCATTCCGAAGACCAGCCTCTGTGCGCACGGCCGTCGTGGTGGACATGTGGGCACCGCGGTGGCGAGATGTTAACTACCTGGCCTGGTGTACAGGAGGTCGTGGGTTTAATCCCGACCCTGACGCCTGCTGCTGTATATTTGGAGTTTGCGTGTGCTTGCACTGCGGTCGCGTGGATTTTTCTCTGGGTTCTCCGAATGTTCCCTCCACATTTAGAATCAATGTGCGTTTAGATGATTTGGCGGCTATAAAAAAAAGAGCTATATAGCTCAGTGGCCCTTACCTGGTGAAATAAAAAAAAATAGTTTAGTTATGTGGTGAGCAAAGGCACTGCCAAAGCTGGCTTTAAAGATACGAGCATTTTAGCATCCGTGTCAACAATGGGCTCGTCTCGTGCCCATCATCCTGCCAGAGGACTGGCAGTGGTGCAGGTTCTCTTTCCATTTCCCTGTCTTCCGCCAGCGCTCGTTGCGTTGGTGACCAGCGCACCCGTCAATTAAAATTAACGTCATCTGCCCACCGCATCAGTGGTCTTTCCCGTGATCGCTGTCCCAAGTGCACATCATTGTATTATGATCTATTCCAAACATTCCTGTCTCTGCTATGGGTTCGCACGAGTTCCTTTTTCTCACCGACCATTTCTGGCAAACGCGGTCCAACTGTCCCACGATCTGTCTGCGATGCCCGTGAGCGTCCCTCTTGCACAAGCTCGCAGTTCACAATCACAAGTGGAACTGTGCGGGTGAAACGGAGCCACGCGGGAATGTCGGCTGTGGCCAGCTGGCCGTGTAGGAGCCATGCCGAGCAGAGGGGAAAAAACCGGCAGTGGTCGGCGCCGTCGTTGCCGGCGGTTTGGCTCGATAGCCACGTCCCCTCCCCCCCCCAATGCCACCGTCTCAGTCTGGTGGGCGGCTGTGGTGAGCTACCCGGCCATCGGTCGCCCCCCCCCGCACCGCTTCATCGCGGGTGAAGCACAGACGGCCTCCAGCGAGACTCACGCCGGGGCTTATCCTTCGATTGCAACGTTCAGAGTTGCTGCGATCACAGCGTGGAAAATAAAGCGCTGGGCTGCCAGCGGAATGGTGTCGCGTGCGTGCTTGTGTGGTGACACGATATTTCGTGTATAGCGACAATATTAAATCCGTTTCATCCTTTCGGACGATTCTTTGTTCTGCCAAGGGCGGAACGAAACTATTTCGGAATGGCAAGAGATTGAGAGTATACAGAGAAAACCGCGTACCATACATATGCCCACGGGCAATAGCGCACCGGTCTGTGATACGTCGTGGAGGACAGGCTTGTAAGCCCGCGCACTAAAACCTATACTTCACCACGGCCGTTAGAAATCTGGGGTTGCTGAAGTGTCCTTGACAATAATATTAGGAGTGATATAGGTGCATGTTATCAGTGGACAACAGAAAGAGTAAATATGTCTGCATTGTCAACAGTTATTGTTTAAAACAAGATTCACATCTTGTAAAAAATAGTTCGTGCCTGCGGACATTTTAACTGGCTCGGTTTATCACTCCGGAATTCTTACAGCTCATTGGCTTCATCGTGTCTTTACTAGACTGCCAATGCTTATTAACCCTCCAATCAATCACCCCGGCAATACCATCTGCCTGGCACGTGGAAAAGGAGAGAGCTGTACGCACGCACGCAAGCACGCCGTTTATGCATCAGGAGATGATTTTAAAAAAACGACACCAACTGTGGTGGGCCTGGTGGCACGGGTCCAAAAATAAAATTTACAAAGATTGAATCACTGCCAGCACCGCCAGCACCGCCAGCAACGCCCACCACCAACACCGCAACGCCCACGACGCACAGCTGCCGAAGTGGGATTATACGATTGCATACGGGACCGGGCACGCAGTGAATCATTTAGGGCCTCGCGAACGGGCAGAATGTTGTACGTATGTACATAATTTGAACTTCGTTCGCCAAAGTAGGTAGCCAACCGTGCTAACCGGAGGTGCGGAGGAAGGATGGACAAACTAAACACAAAAAGCAGTTCCTCAAGAAATGAGTGTTCAATGTAGACGATTTCAAAGTCCATAGCTCCAGTGGCTTCCTAATATCGGAAGGAAGAGCGTTCCAGGCGGCCGTGGAAGCGCATCTGAAAGCGCACGCCCGTGGCGACCGTAGCCAAAATCTGCTGCTGCTGCTGCTGCTGCTGCGAGGATTACCGCAGTTTGCGTGACGGTTTATGCTCCTTGACGAGCTCAGAGAGCAGCTGTGGTTTATTTGTGGCGAGCACTTTGTGTGTAATGAGTGTGACCTCATTTAACGTTGTTCCTAACTCTTCGTCGACAGTGGTTGCGTAGCTGTGGGCGGCCTCTATCTTAATAAAAATGCGGTGGCCGCATGCCTCCCGTCACACACCCGTGGCCGCATTTCCCGAGACCACGAGGCAAACCGGACTCGGCAGGAACCGACTTTATGCCCAGACGTAATCAACAGCAGATGCTAAATGACGAATGCAATGTACGTTTGGCCCACTCCAATGGACGCATCGGGATGGAGGAAGCTCATCAACAGAGCTAAATTGCACAAAAATTACATATTACGCTCCCCATTTGCCGTTTCGTGCGCGTACACGCGCGCATACGCACACATAAGGAGGCTCCGCCAGAGGAGACGTAACCGGGTACACGCACGTGTGCACGCACGCACTGCTCTAGATGATGTGTGCATCCTGATTAAAACCCATCAGACTCGATGATAATGAAGGAGCTGTGCGATGATTGCCAACGTACACATAAACAGTTAAAAATGAAAACCCCACTGGTACCCTCTCAGCGTTACAGGGCGTGTGCGCTGCATGCAAAGTCCGCTGAAAAGTTGCGCAAGCTCTTAAAGTAGTTTAACACGTAGGCTTTCGCGACCGATATCATCCATAAGAGGTTTTTGGGTTAGATCGCGTAATATAAATGTGTCGTTAAACCCGCCACCACCCGACACAGCGAATTAGTAAGGTTTGTCTCTTAAAGCACCTCTGGGCACATCGCGCACACCTCGAGAGGACGCCAATCGCCCGCTCGCGAAATCAGGGCCCTCGCTCTCTCTCGCTCTCTCTCGCTCTCTCTTTCTCCCACCCACGAACTTCCGACAGCAGTCCTTCACTGTTAGCAATCATCATATCCCATCTGTTGCTGATATTTCTCCGTAGCCAACCACGCTAACCGAAAGTGCGGTGGGGGGGGGGGCGGACGGGGGGACGACAACTAACACACAAAAATCAGCTGTAAAGAAACGACAAACAACAATAACAACAATAATAATACGATGCGACTCGGACCAACGTACCTGCGCTGCCTCCCAGCCCCACTGGCGGTACTTGGGGTCGTGCGTGAACCTCCACATGTACCAGTACGTCTCCAGAACCTCGGGCCGCAGGATGTAGTACTTCTCGTTCTGGCGCACAGCCACCGCCTCTGCACCGCCGTCGAATTTGAACGCCTCCGGTCCGAGTTTTAGAGCTGCCGGTGGTGGAGAGCAAACGGCAAATAAATACGAGTCAAAACTAAAACTACGAAACTGTGTTTTATTTTGTCAGGCAAGGCCCACTGAGCTGCGTAGCTATTTTTCAGAAGCGACCTGGCTATAGCAAATGACAGCGCCAACGAAGCGGGGCTTGTCATCGTGTGGAAATTTATAGCGGCCAAATGCTCTGAACGCGCGACGTTTATTCTAAATGTGGAGGGGATAAACCGGAGGTGCCCGGAGAAAAATCCACGAGACCACGGGGGGGGGGGGGGGGGAGAGACAATAGGCAAACTCCAAATGTACAGCAAGTGGTGAGGGTCGGGATTAAAACCCTTGACCTCCTGCATAGCGGGCGAGGGAGTTAATATCTCGCCACCACGGCACCGCAAGCGAGTAACCAAATAGCGACGCGGGCGCAGATTTTAAACGAGAGCTAACAGGAGCCTCCGCGCTGCTGCAACACCACGACTTCAAAACCAGAAACAAAATAAAAGATAATCGACAAACACAGCCCCCCCCCCCCCATTGGAGACCCCCCCACCCCCAAAGCCCCCCACACATGATCTGCAAGTGGCAGTAAAAATGCCACTGAGGCACCCCGTAAAGGCTGTGGATTCCCTCTCTAGACAAAGACAGGAAGAGCTATTGCTCGCCTCCAAACTATTCCGAGTGACCTCCCCAAACCCTTTGCCCCTTAAAAAGTAGAAAAGGACACAGACATCACACAATTCAGGACTGCCGATTTGTTGTTAATAATGAGTATACAATTAAAATGAAAAGTCAATTTATAAAAAAAAAATTGCGAAAAGAGTTGAACGGGTGGCTCGGAGATCAATACTGGGAAAGTTCAGTTCACCGATGTAGTTTTTATAGATTTGTTTTTATTGCGGTGCAAATACTCACACTCCATCTAGGAGCAGATGCAGTGAGACAAGTGAGAGGGATGTGGCTACGCAGGGGGCAGGCACCAAACCACTTCTCTCTTGTGGCACAAAGGGGAAGCAATATAAATAAAATAAGCCTTTAAATTTAGAGAGTATTTGGCTGCTATACATTTCCAAATGATAAGCCACTTCGTTGAGTTATCGTTTGTGGCCAGGTCGCTTGTGAAAAAGAGCTCTCCAGTTCAGTGGACCTTACCTAGTCAAATAAAACGTTTTTCCTTCACAATTTGCTTACCTTTCCTATACTTTGGACTCTTATCGGTTTTTTTGTATTGTTTGTTGTTGTAACGTTTTGACGTGCCGTACTGGACAAAAGGGCTTTGTAGCTCATCGAATTCTTCCAGTATAAATATTCGTATTCTGATGTGTTGTTGAGAGAGTAGTAGAAGGCCTGGTTACCATCAAACACCCAGAGGCTGACACACCCGTACAATACACCCAATCTGTTATTCGTTTAATTTTTAACCAGGTAAGGCCCACCGAGCTACACAGCTAGACGAGCTCTTTTCACATCCAGCCTCGCCCTACGATGGCGGCGGCGACGGCGACTCACCCGTGCGAGCGTACGACTCGTGGCACGTGTGCGCTATCTTGGCGCCCAGCTCCAGGAAGTGGCCCGCCTTGTCGCCCGGCGAGCCGTCGGCGCCCAGCGCGAACATGCCGCCCGCGAAGCACGTCAAGTGGCCCATCTTCTTCTCCAGGTGGCCGTTCTTCCACTCGCCAATGTAGGTGAGGCCGCCCTCCGACTTGCGCACCAGGTGCCGCTCAATGCCCTATATGCAACCCCCCCCCCCCCCCGCCGCCCACCCCGCCAATCGTAAACGTGAGAAAAGAAAATGAAAAATTAGGGATGCCGATTGTGCGCGTGCAACGCACTCCAACAACACACCGTTCGCCCTCAGAGATAATAATGCCGCCGACAAAGGAGCGCAACAAGGCGGCATCGCGCGTCGTGACATCGTCGGGAGGCGAGAGGAGGACGTATGAGGTGTGACTTCGTCGCCTTGGCCGACAGGGCTGAACCTTGAAATGCTGGTTTTTAAATCGGTAAGTTTTTGAGCAAACGTGATCGGATTTCTGCAGAGTAAATGGCTACCAGCAACACAACTTGATACCGCAAGTGTTATCGTCACTCCACGTTACAGACCGACGAACAGGCAAACAGCATTCGTGTGCTCAACCTCAGTTGGAGAATGTTAAAAACCAACGATGTGCGTGAAAGCATCTACTCTCGTGCCCACGGCAGATTTCCATGCCCGCCCACGGCTACGTCGAACCCCAGCCTCGTCACTCGCTCTCATTTGGCCGCTGTGCTTTGGCTCGCTCCTGCACGGCTCGACTAACACTCGGAGAGCCTCCAAGGGACCATAAGCATTAAAATATGCCGGGTATCGGCCAACGGCGGGACCGTATTAGCGCCTGTAATTGGGGACGCGTACCTACGCCAACCTTAAATCTCCGTGCGGCGAAGTCTACGCGGGCTCCTAGGGGCAACAGATTAACACGGGAGGGCAAACGGCAGAGACATACGACAGCCCGACGACTTCCACGATTAACTCGTGGCACCCGGCGGAATGCCCGGCAAGTTACATTTGTCAAAGGAGAGTTACATCGGCGAGGATCAAACCGCAACAGCGCGGAAAAAGCGTATCACCACCAAGTTGACCGTTGCAGTAATTTTCCATCTGGCGGGGCTCCCCGGTGGTTCCTTTATCTTTGTTTATTCATTCGGCGGCGCAACTTTGAACCATTTGGCGCGCACCGCACACGCTCCCAAGTCATCCTTGAAGCCGGCGGGGAAAGGGGGGTGGGGGGTGGGGGGTGGGTGTGTGGGGGGGGGGGGGTTACGGAGTGTCACAGTTCGCCTGTCGGGGGGGGTGGGGGTGGGGGGTGCGTCACCTCGATGGCGTCGTCATACATCTTGCGCGCCTCCGTGTCCTTCTTGTCAGACATGATCCAGGCCTTGAGCAAGTATTCGTAGAAGCTGTCGCCCAGGCCGCCCACGGACGAGTGGACTGCACGCACGCACGCACGCAGCGAGCACACAGGTCTTGGGCCCAGAAACATTCGTCTGTCGCGAGGCGAATACTTACAAGGTCGCCCACGTCCCTTGACATTGTGTCGTTCGCTCTGAGAACAGGCTTCAGGGCTGCGACGAATGTGCCTGCCCTGTGAGTTAATGTAAGACGTGGTGGCGAGATGTTGACTACCTCGCCGGGTATACGGGAGGTCGTGCATTCGATCCTGACCCTTATGCCTGTGTATTTGGAATTTGCATGCTCTCGCTCCCCACGGTCGTGTGGATTTTTCTCAAGGGGCCCTCTGGTTTTTCCCTCCAAACTTATAAACACGCGATTAGAGTATTTGGCTGCTATACATTTCCACGTGATAAGCCACTTCATTGGGCTATCATCTGTGGCCAAGTTTGCTTCTGAAAAAAAGCAACATAGCTCAGTGGGCCTTACCTGGTAAAAATAAAATAAAAAAAAGCTTAGTTCGCAGTTTTAAGAGTTTCTCGCGTTATCAAAAGTTCACGAGCATCACAGGGCATTGTGAGATTTTTTTTCTTCACCACCAAGCCGACGAGTACTGTAAGGAACCTTTGCCAGCAAATATGATTGGCTAGGCCGTTGGGCGTGTGTGCTAGATTCACTGACCCTTCCACCCTTCCAACAAATGTTGGGCACAGAACACACAGATGTTCAGTTCATTGTCATCCCGGGGTCAAGGTGAGGTCCACGTAAACACACACACACACCACACACACACATCTTTCCAGTTGCCGTTAAAGCTCGTGTGGTTTGACTGCTGCATTGGATGGATGTTTGCGATCAACTGTCAATTCATTTGTTTAGTAAACTGCACGTGACTGAAAGATACAGCTGAAACTGTACTGAAAACGCGGTATGTGTAAGGATGAGGCAATTGGCTCCGTGTGCGACCGCGTTTCGTTTACTACTACTACTACGACGGGGTTTTATTTTAACCGTGCGACAAACAACACGTTTTTGTCCCGCACCTTGAAAGCAGATTGCAGTTTAAGTGCCGTCCAGACGCACATAACAAGCAATGCGTCGGTCAGAACTTCGGGCAATGGGCTGCGGGGGCAATTTCCCCGTCAGCAGGAAAAAAAAAAGAAGAAAAAAAACCCCCAGTGCATTGATCACATGGCAAAGCTGCAAAGACGTTCATATCTGGACAAAGAAGTTTGGCATCCGCTGGCTCGGATTCAATTCTTCCTGCGGCACTCAATGCGGCGTCGATTACAGTTTTGTGCAAAGAGGGCCACCGCAATTCGCAATGATCGACACGAACAGCGCCACAAAAAATAAACACAGCAGGAGGGGGGGGACGACGACAACAAGCGTCACACCAGATCGGGGGCCCATCACGCCTTTAAAAACAACCGTGGACCGATGGACAAAAGGCGCGCCCAAACACCCCAAGGTAGGGCGGGTAAAAAACAAATAAATGATTCCGCCGTATTCGTGGATTGCCAGCCGGGTGTCCGCTCGGCAGGAGCCGCCCCTCGTTCTCAATTATGGCAGCGGCGGAACGGTTAGGAGCTGCTCGACGTGAACGTGCTCTGCTCGCGCGTTCTCCCGTGACGAGCCAGCGAGCGAGCTGGGTTCTGTCGTGGGCGCTGCCTCGACGCAAGCATTGATTCTAAAACGGGCTCGGAATATGATTTTAAGTTAATCGTAAAATGTCAATGCTGTCCTGACTTGGCAACATCCCTGCAAATGCGCACTCGCCCCCCCTTTAAGTAACATGCCACAGGCGTGTATGTTATTGAACACGCAAACGGGCACGCGCACGCACGCGCACACACACACACACACAAAGGCATCAAGAGCTCGAATAACATGTTGATTCAATGAATTCGTCAGCACGACTTAGCATGTAATAAAGCCAGTCAACGGCGGATCAAAGGTTAAAGAACATCGGCAAAAAATACTGTGATCAATCCTGTATCATGTAAAACGCGTGACCTTTAACCGCTGATCGCCACGTTGACTTCAACGCTCTGCATACTGCCAATGCAGTGGGCTTAAACGCCAAGCTCGGAGGCACGGACACAAGGAGGGGGGCGGGGGGTATTTTACTAGGAGACACGGGGAAGGGAGACTGCATCTACTGCAGGATGCAAGCGGCCAGCCAGCCAGGCACACCGCACGCCGCCCTAACCTAGCAGGCCACTCGGAGGACCACCGATCCCCTGGCGAGCCCCGGCGATTCCCAGCACAGGCTACGGCGCTGCTAATTCGAGGGGAAATGTCGCCAGGTCTGGGACGGTCTGGGACGATCTGGGCCGGAAGGTGTTTTACCTCCGGCAGGCCAATGGCTTATCGATTGAGTGCAACACATGTGGCCGTGCAGGAAATTTGTAACTGTGCATCTATTTGTTTATTTATTTTACGTCAACTCCTTTTATAGCGGACACGGTGCACAGAGCGCACGACTCTGTACGCCTCGTTTAAAACACCGTGAAGGTTTACCACCGAAACGATGACGTTCATAAATTGGTGACGGCCTGTTATGTCACAACTGGTAGAGGAGATGTGGGGAGAGGATGCGGGCGCAGGGAGAGAGAGGTGGAGGGAGAGACGGGGGGGGGGGGTGAGAAGCAGGGGGAGGTGGGGGTAGAGGTGGCGGGCAGGGAGGGGAGCGGGTGGAGGCAGAGGGGGGGAGAGGCGGGGGGACAGGGGTGGGGGGGGGGATCTAAAATCGCTGGGATCAGCTACGGTCTGCTCGTCAGCACGAGTCAAGCCCGCCGGGCGAATAGACGGGAGCTGCGGCGAACTGCGGGTGGCGCTGGCTGGCACCTTGCATGCCGACGCTACGCCTCTGGTCACTTACATCCCGTTCTCCCCGGCTGGCCGGCTGTGTCGGACAACGGTGCAGAGCGAGAGGAAGAAAAAAAGAAAACGCCCCCTCGGCAAGTCAAATGAACGAAACTGCACGGGAACGAACGCGCGGCAGGACGGGCGAAGACGGGCAGAGATTTGCGCAAGGGGGGGGATATACAGGACCGCGCTAAATAATGCATGGGCACAATTAAGCCTTTAGACAAACTTGCATGTGAAGGCAGAAAGTAACATTAATGGGGTTGGGGGGAGGGGAACCAACAACGTTAAGATGAAGGGTCAACTTGCGATAATCCAATAGCCTTTCCTGCTGAGAGCAACAAAAATACGTTTCACGTGGAACGTGGAAAAACGTCCGCGGAAAGACGAAACGATTAGACAAACACACACACCGAGAAAGAACACATGAAGGGGAAAAAAAACAAGAGCAAACATCAGCATCCATCTCTCCACACAGACAACACGGGATGGAATAAAACCTATAACTGGACACGTGCCCTGGTGTTGAAGGGGGGGGGGGGGGAGCTGGGGGTGGACGGTGCGGGGAGGGGAGGGGGGGGGATTTGTCTCGTTACGCAGATCTAATAAAAGCACACATCTTGCTGGGGCCAGAATCTCATTACCTGCCAGTCACAGAACACTAAGAAAACAATTTGCATTGATTATGCAAGTCAAATAGGACCTTGGCTGCATCCCTCCTCCAGGGGAAAGATACTAGTTTTCCAGCTGGGTCGCTCGCACACACAGAGCACTCACGCACACACACACACATCGCTAAGTAGACACAAAGACAAATATCCCCTGTATAGCCTTCAACAGACTATTGGGGCAAGTGCTGTTAGCGAGCACCTATGAAGGCCGGCACGCCACACGAGAGAAGGGTGGCCAGCACCACGCCCGGCCGCCTTTGTCTCCTCAGTGGTGATGTTTACACACCAGCTACTCATCTGAGGCTGAGTCGACCTGTGGAAGGCCCAGGACCATTTCAGATAATCGTCACTGGTGTTTACCGTCAGCGGGAATCGAACTCGGTTCGCCGGGTTCGCAGTACAGCTCGGATCGCCGGGTTCGTATCGCAGTGCGCTAACTGCTGCACCACCATTCCCCACACGCGCACACAAAAAACAAAGACAAAAATCCCCCGTATAGCCTTAAAAGACGGTTAGATGTTGGGGAAAGTGCTGTTAACCAGCACCTATGAAGGCCGGCACAGCACACAAAGGGGTGGGTGGCACCCACGCCCGACCGCCTTTGTCTCCCCTAGTGGCAATGTTTACTACACACCGCACCAGGAACCCAATTGAGGCCAAGTCGACCTAGGGGAGGGCCACGACCGGTTCAGATAATTGTCACTGTTGTCGGCCGTGAGCGGGAATCGAACTTGGGTCGCCGGATTCGTAGTGCAGCGCGCTCACCGCTGCACTACCACTTCCCACATGCGCACACACAGACAGACATCGCTAAGCAGACATACACACACTCATGTAAGCTCCTCCGACTGGCCAACACTGCACTGAACAATGGGGATTGTGCACACTGTACACGTGACACCACGTTTCGTGTTAAACGGCTTCCAATTTTCTCCAGAAATAAAATTATGACTCAATTGGGAGCGTGGCCTGGCCATTATTTGTTGCGCTCTGCCAGCCCTTATGTGTCAAGTAAATTTAACGGATTTTTTCTTTCTTTCCGCAGACGGAAAAACCCGCCCAACGCCGAAGCAATTCCGAAGGCATGGAACGACTGAAGCGCGCGAAGGGCGCTTGTGAAAAAACATGTCATTTACACAAACAGTGCAGACGACACATCATGCATGGCACCCATCGCGAAATAATTATTTCCCATCGGTGAACACTGCGCGAGAGCCACATATACACACACACACGCACGTGCGCACGCACGCACAGCAGCGTAAGAAACATTTGCTCCGTTCAACGCACGACTCTGCGTAGGTCAGAAATCTGCGTAGGTCAGAGTTTCAAACGCTGTGTTCTGACAGGGACGCACAGGATTCACGGCGAAGGCTTTCATCTCAAAGCGCTCGCGTTTTTTTTTTTTCCCGCCGGCTCATTTGGATTCCACCCCGTATATTTTAGCGACTACCACCGGCCAAGGCTGACCGCGGCAGCTCGAAATGCAACGCCTCTCTCGCACGCTCGCAGTGCCATGAGCTTCAACGGCAGCTCCTAGCCGTCAGTGCGGCCACCAGAGAATCCGGGGAAGAGATGCACATTAATCTTATCACACCGCCTCAAAGTGAACCGGTCAAAGCACTGGATACCGTTCACTGTTCAAAGCTGGCAAGGGGGGGGGGGGGGGTTTGTCTCTCAGTTTTGGTCAAATGGTTTTTCATATGACACAAAAAGCGTGCGTTGAAATCGTCATATACCAGGCTTAAAACCGCCGTATACCAGGCTTAAAACTGCCGTATACCAGGCTTAAGCACTTATGCTTACCCCCCGGGATAATTTTCGGGCGATCGGCACCAACGATCGTTATCACCGCATTTCCTGTTGTAGAAATGTAGTTGTCAAAAATTCGGACTGATCTGATCGCAGCTCCTCATGGCGGGCGACTGGGACGGCCGCTTCCAATCAGATCGCTGGTGGAGGATCACTTGACTGTCCGACGTCAAGCTCTCTCGTCATATGAGAATAGCCAGCTTCAGGTCAGTGCATCGGTGGGATGTGGACAGATGAGAGGGGAAAGCCTCGTGATCGATTTATTTTCCCGCTAAGCAAAGCTCATATTGTAATGTGTTCTACTGAGTGACTGACTGACTAGAAATAACCGCCGCATAAACGACACCGTCACTCCGATTCCGATGCCCGCCAAGCTGAATGTAGCCACGCTCATGGTTAATGGGTTTGCCGGTGACGGTTACGAGCAACGATTAGCCATAAAAGTGTGCGAGAGGGATCGTGGTCTTGGGGATAACCTCCAGTTTGTAGCACAGCGCAAAGAACGGGAGGGGGGCACGCCAACGCCGCTGGGATAATCACGTCGGGGTGAATCCACTGCGCGAACTCACATTGGCCCCAGCGGCCTGTGCGTGGGTGGAGGTAGTTGGGGTAGAGCCCATTGGGACGGTCCATCTTCTGCAGGATCCCACGGATCTTCATCACCTGGGCGACGCAGAATGAGAATCAGAGTATTGACTTATACCGGAGGAATCCGATGAGCTATGAAGATCTTTTTCACAGGTGTCCACAAAGTGCAAGTCAGAATGTTACAACAAACAATAGAAAAAATACAATAGGAATGCAAAGCACAGGAAAGGTAAACAGATCACTTGAAAAAAACCATACGAATAAAACAAAACTATTTTTATCTTACCAGGTAAAGCCCACTGAGCGATTTAACTCTTTTTCAGAAGCGACCTGGCCACAAATGATAGCTCAACGAAGTGGCTTATAACGTGGAGATTTATAGCAGCCAAATAATCGAAACGGGTGACACCGATTCTAAATGTGGAGGGAAACCGGAGGACCCGGAGAAAAATCCACGTGACCATGGGGATCGAACCCACGACCTTCTGCATACCAGGCCGCCGCGAAAATATACGGCACGACCAGGCTGCAGATGCAGACATTTGAGATTGAAAAATGAAAAATAAAAAAATTATTGTGAGCACCGTGCTCATGCGCATTCACGAACGGAATAGGATTTCTCAGAACTCCAGCAGAATGGACTCATCACACCTGTGCATGAGTGAGATCCTATCAGATCAATAAGCTGGTCACATATTTTACTCAAATGTCCATGTAATGTTAAAATTGCGTTTTTCTGCCTGTGGTGTATGTGTGTATGTTGAACTTATTTTGCACTATACGTAGCCCACCGTGCTAATCGGAGGTGCGGGGAAAGGACACTAAAATAAACACAAAGATCAGTTCTAAATAAATTAGTTTTCAATCTAGATTTAAAAGTGCAGAGCTCCAAATGGCGTCGGAAGGAAGAGCGTTCCAGACGGCCGCATGAGTCTTTATTCGATGGTTAGCCAAAAGCCGCTACTGCGAGGATGACCAGCGATCTGCCTAACGGAAGCTAACGGAGCGTTTGTGGGTGCACGCCACCTTATTACGCGCTCCATTTTCTTCTCAAATTACCAAATGTGCTAAACTAGAATAATTGCCACCTCAACACACCAAGCACCTTCCCTCGGATTTATTACCAAGATATAAAATAAGCCAAGAATGTGCGTGTCCCGCGTGTGACGTCACTCCACATGCCGCACCCCTCCCGAAGAACCATTAGCGGGTGACGTCACTCCAAATGTAGATGAGATTTTCACTGAAAAGAGCGCAGGGCACTCAATTTATAATGCAGCGAATTTTTTTTTTTGCTGCGCAAAACAATCGCAAATTTATGTCACGTTTTGAAGACTTATATCTTACCAGTAAAAGCCAAAAAAAAAGGCACACACTTTCTTGAAGTGGGAGATATTAATGAAAAGGTCACACTTGGACTAAAATAATGAATTTAAGCCAGACCTCTCTCTGTGGTACTGCATAAGAGTGATTTTTTTTTCCTGCGGGCTACAAAACGGGGGAAATGTTAGGATGATGAGGAGGACATTTGTAAGTTAATTTACGGGAAGAAAAAAAAAGGAATGAGCAAATTTGGAATAATAAAACGCACTGCTTTTTCATTTGAACACGATTTCTTTTCTTACGCAATCTCATTTTGTTACTCTTGTATCCGACGGCTACAACAGAGCACGGGGGGGGGCGAAAAACATTCGACGCAAAAGCGGCGGCGGCACCCGCCCTCGGCACAAAAGGGAGCGCGGGGAAACAATTTGGCGGCCCTGCGACACGAGCTGGGACAGCGAGGCGCTCGGAGCAGGATCAAGGAAATGGGAGTGGACCGAGGGGCCTCTCTCGTCGCCGTCTCTCTGTCTCTCTGCTCGCTCGCTCCCGAGATTGACAAAAAAAACCACGACGGAGTAAAACGGGCGGAAAAACGTAGGCTACGGTGAATGGGGAAAAAAAAAAAAACGTTCGTGGAGCAGTGATCTCGCCGGAGGAAATTGCCTCGTGCGCGGTTCAAAGCGAGCCATCGTGCTGAACTTCTTTCGCGCCGTACGCAGCCAACCGTGCTGTTCGGCGGTGAGGGGGAAGGACAACAAACTGAACACAAAAAGCAGTTCTAAAGAAAAGGGTTTTCAATCTGGATTTACAAGTGCATGGCTCCAGTGAATTCCTAATATAGAAAGGGAGAGCGTTCCAGACGGCCGCAGATCGTCTTTGTTCAATGATTAGCCAAAAGCCGCTGCTGTGAGGATGACCAGAGTTTGCGTCATGGTTTATTCTCCCTCACGAGATCAGCAAGGTATTGTGGTTCAGCAAGGAATTCACTACTATAATGAGCCAAGAATGTCTGTGTGTCCCGCACGTGACGTCACTCCATGTCGGCCAGCCTCCCTCATTAATAATCATGAACAGGCGCCTCCTTCCCCCTCCTCAGCGTCAACTTACAACCCTCACTTCACGCGATCTCCGTAATGCTATTGAGACACAGAAGTAAAAAGGACGTGATGATGAACAATGGATCAAAACCTTTAAATGAAATAAGTCTGTGTCACCGCAGCCTTACAAACTGCACACGAATTGATGCAATGAATATCACGTCGCGATCTGCCTTTCGCTTGCAAGTTTCGGATTTACTGAAATACACCCGTCCTTGGACGTGCAAAAGGCTAGTTTATAGTAATATCACACCACTTCTGGGCACAGACTGCGAATATTATTAAACATAAGGAACCGCTATTAAAATAACCGATAATATCAATTGGGCACTACTGTCACTAAAATTCTGTTCTCTCCCGAAAGTGCAACGCAATGTTAATTACATACTTTTGCACACGAACAGCTTTGGTTCAGGGTCAAGGCCATACAGCTCTGTCACTGGAAGATTAAAGATCCTCGTTTTTTAAACCACTTACAGCGGAGGGTGAAGTACGTTCAAGGAAATAGCCTCTTGAGGCAACAACAACAACAACAAAAAGTAAAGAAAAGCATGAACTCCATGCGCACTGAAATGGAATTTTAAATGTCATTTAGTTTTGGGGGAAAGGGCGCCCACCATCAGGCTCGTGACTAAAGACTGGCGTTAAGCGCGTATACATTTTTTAGATACGGGGCCAATCAATGCTGAATTAATTACTTACGAGGTGCTGTGCATATATTCACCCACACGCAGTGCATACACGGTTGTCTACATACGGTGTGACATAAGTTCAACGGACATACGTACGTACATTGTATTGAGATAAATGCAGTAGCTAACATCAGGCTAACGTCACTGCATACCGATAAACGATGTGTGACGGAGTTTCTGAGTTCGCTTAATTGCGGGTTAAATGGCTTACTATATGATTACCATAATTCTTGTTTACCCAGAGAAGCCTCAACTGAGTCTCAAGGACTCTTCCAGGGAGGGTCCTGACAAGTTTTCGCAGTGGGCAGGGGGTGATGGAGCTACGTTTAATCCCTATTGAGTAAATTATGCAGCTCGTTTTAAAGCAGAAGATTGGTGATGGATACAGCCAGTAGTCACATTGTGCAAATGTGATGTGCAACTTTGATCCTTACCTTACGTGTATTGATAGTTCAATGTGAATGTGCCATTGTGTTGAGGGACAAGTGCTGTGGTCTGGGACTGTTTTGCTTGTGTCTTTGCTGCCTTGCCCAAGCCTGACAAATCGGACTTATAATATAATGAACATATTTACATATTTAGTTACTTGCTTATCAATTTCTCTATTTTGCACTCCTGTCGTGCTTTTTTGTATTGTTTGCTGCTGTAACTTGCTGACCCCTACAATACTGGACATTGTGAACAAGAGCTTCAAAGCTCATCAGATTCCTCCAGCATTCTAACAAATTCTGAAGCATTGGGGATGTTTTGCCAATACCAGTGAGTTTTTTTTGCGTAGAATGATACTAAAACGAAAATCATCGAAGGGAGGATACCAGAAAACCCAGAGAAAACCCATACAGAACAGGCAGAGGACATTAAAAACTCGATGAAGAAAGGCAAACGAGACGGGAATCAAACGGCCCTTCGCAGGAAAAATTGTGGTTCATAATACGAGTCCTGAATACAATACAATTGATTTAGAGTGCCTATTTTGAGGCTGTTGATGCAGTATTGTCATCAATATGCGACTATACACATCCATTTAGTGAGTATAAAATTAAAGAACCGTGCGTTCCCAGGCCAATACAAAAACTGTTAAATCCAACCAGACCGTGCAACAGCAGCAATGTATAAAATTATTGGTACAGCTATGAGGAAAAAACATAAGAATTCAATCAAGCCATGAATAACTTAACAAACGAAATACAGCTTTTCACAGTTTAACTAGAGTGACGCAGGGTGCATCAGGAAGGCGTTTTGGCCTCACAAGTCCAAGGAGTACGCCGAAGTCACCTTCAGCTGTGTTCCCAGCTCACGCAGTGTTGTTGTGATAGCGAACGGGGCCACTCACCAGGTCAATGTAGGAGGATTCCCCGGTCAGGTAGCTCAGGTGAGCAAACTCCAGGTGCAAGGTGCCAAACTCGGCCAAGATGCTGCATCCTGACGACGCCCAGTTCCAGTTGCGCCCCACCCCACTGGGAGACACGGCACGGCACCGACACGGCACAAGCACAACAACCACGGCACAGGTGGTGTGAGCGCCGAGCATCTCCCCAATGGCCCCCGACAGCTGTTCCCCACCGTGGGATCGCCCAAGCGTGATGTGAGCCAGGCAGCTCACAGGACTGGTAGTTAGCATCAATCCTCCCCACCCACTGCCCAGCCACCCGGCCAGTGGGAATATGAAAATGGGTAGATGTAGGAGGTGTAATGACTGCAACTGTTACCAAGCACAGGTGATACGCAGTAATCAGCTCGTGTGCAGGTGTTAACCAAAATAATTACGGCTTACGATCGATGATGATGAGCTGGAGGGAGGATGGTTGACGACTGTGCCTGTTGCCAGGTCCACACGATACCCACACGCTTGTACACAGCCAGTAATGTCAACAGATACCTCTGGGCAGTGACGTGCTAGCCCACGCACATGCGAGCAAGCCCGTGAGCAAAATATAATTTTCGCGCGCGCGCACACACACACTCTGCTCTACGGGCACAACCCAGAGGTGGTCCCGACCACTCCCCATCTATCCCGAGATCGCAAAAGCACCCAGCAACACTCCCACACAGTTTGCATCAGGCCATGCTAATTCCTGCTGCAGCGGATGATTAAGTGCGCGTTTCAGGGCATAAAGAGGCCAATTCATCACGTCCATCTTTCAGCAAGCGCTAGGGACCAGCAAGACGCTTTCCCGAGCACATTTTCTGTCGAAAATGGATGGTTCCGGCAGCGTCATGAAGAACATTAGGAGGACAAATTGGACAGTACCACCGGCAGAAAAGTGGGATTAACAGGTCAAATTAAAAATTAAAGGACCTTGGATCAAAGCACACTGAGCTGCCGTTATTGGCAACGGGGAAAACGGAGGCAGGGTGACCGATTGCTTGAGAGCCTATTTTGCCATTTCCACACACACGTGGAACAACCACGTGACAAACAAACCCCCCCCCGCCGCAACCCCCATCTGTGACGGCAACGTGCCAAATGTATTTCTCACTTGCACGTACACCGGACACAAACAAGTTTATCAAAATCAGGCACCCAGGAGTGCCGCAACAATTGAACGCGTCAAATTTCGCACGAGGGGCATAGAGGAAACGTCACGATTGCATGAAAACACGACAACATATACAGTGAGAGAAAAAAATTATTTGATGCCCTGCTGATTTTGTACATTTGCCAACTGACAAAGAAATGATCAGTCTAGAATTGTAATCGTAGGTTTATTTGAACAGTGAGAGACAGAATAACAAAAAAATCCAGGAAAACGCATGTAAAAAATGTTATAAATTGATTTGCATTTTAATTAGGGAAAGAAGTATTTGACCCCCTCTCAATAAGAAAGATTTCTGGCTCCCAGGTATCTTTTATACAGGTAACGAGCTGAGATTAGGAGCACACTCTTAAAGGGAGTGCTCCTAATCTCAGCCTGTTACCTGTATAAAAAAGACACCTGTTCACAGAAGCAGTCAATCAATCAGATTCCAAACTCTCCACCATGGCCAAGACCAAAGCGCTCTCCAAGGATGTCAGGGACAAGATTGTAGACCTACACAAGGCTGGAATGGGCTACAAGACCATTCCCAAGCAGCTTGGTGAGAAGGTGACAACAGTTGGTGCGATTATTCGCAAATGGAAGAAACACAAAAGAACTGTCAATCTCCCTCGGCCTGGGGCTCCATGCAAGATCTCACCTCGTGGAAGTGCAATGATCATCAGAACGGTGAGGAATCAGCCCAGAACTACACGGGAGGATCTTGGCAATGCTCTCAAGGCAGCTGGGACCATAGTCACCAAGAAAACAATTGGTAACACACTACGCCGTGAAGGACTGAAATCCTGCAGCGCCCGCAAGGTCCCCCTGCTCAAGAAAGCACATATACATGCCCGTCTGAAGTTTGCCAACGAACGTCTGAATGATTCAGAGGACAACTGGGTGAAAGTGTTGTGGTCAGATGAGACCAAAATGGAGCTCTTTGGCATCAACTCAACTCGCCGTGTTTGGAGGAGGAGGAATGCTGCCTATGACCCCAAGAACACCATCCCCACCGTCAAACATGGAGGTGGAAACATTATGCTTTGGGGGTGTTTTTCTGCTAAGGGGACAGGACAACTTCACCGCATCAAAGGGACGATGGACGGGGCCATGTACCGTCAAATCTTGGGTGAGAACCTCCTTCCCTCAGCCAGGGCATTGAAAATGGGTCGTGGATGGGTATTCCAGCATGACAATGACCCAAAACACACGGCCAAGGCAACAAAGGAGTGGCTCAAGAAGAAGCACATTAAGGTCCTGGAGTGGCCTAGCCAGTCTCCAGACCTTAATCCCATAGAAAATCTGTGGAGGGAGCTGAAGGTTCGAGTTGCCAAACGTCAGCCTCGAAACCTTAATGACTTGGAGAAGATCTGCAAAGAGGAATGGGACAAAATCCCTCCTGAGATGTGTGCAAACCTGGTGGCCAACTACAAGAAACGTCAGACCTCTGATTGCCAACAAGGGTTTTGCCACCAAGTACTAAGTCATGTTTTGCAGAGGGGTCAAATACATATTTCCCTCATTAAAATGCAAATAAATTTATAAAATTTTTGACATGCGTTTTTCAGGATTTTCTTGTTACTATTCTGTCTCTCACTGTTCAAATAAACCTACCATTAAAATTATAGACTGATCATTTCTTTGTCAGTGGGCAAACGTACAAAATCAGCAGGGGATCAAATACTTTTTTCCCTCACTGGATATATACGATGGATAAGTTATACGCGATGGCAGTGCAGTACAAGCCGGCACGACACCAGGCATGAGCATCGATATATAAATGCCAGGTCATCTATGACAGTGGTTCTCGGAATTTCTGGGTTAACGTCTTGGACAAGCAAGCAATCCACAGGTCTTGGGTTCATTCTCCCGTGGCGGCAGTGGAAACAACGGTGCGAGTTTCTAAACATTCTGCCACCTCTGTCCACCCAGCTTGAAGTATCAACGGGTAAATCACAGTTAGTTGATCGGCTGGTCGCATGTGATAGGGTATAGCGTGGGTACTTCCACCTATTCCAAGATGTGTGTAGTATAGCGTATAGCAGTGTTGTGTCTAGTAGAGTGTTTATTAGTGTATTGTATAGTGTTGCATGTACGTAATGACTCTAGCACGACATGATTTCACACATTTTTCAATCCTCTCACGTACCTCCAGGGGTCTGCGTACCCCCCCCACCCCCTCCTCCCCCCCCCCCCGGTTGAGAACCACCGATCTCCGATACTGAAAACGCGTCACACTTGGGGGGGGTGAGGAGGGGGTCATACCTCTTGAGGTTCAGGAGGGCCCATGGGATGCCCGTTGGCGTCCTGAAGGCGGGCAGAAGCTTTTCGGCCAGCTCCACAGCACGGATCTTGAACACCTGGAGCGTTCACACGAAAGGGGCCACCGGGTCATTCGTCACGGTGGAATTCGGGGCGAAGGCGATCCTGAAAAGCGGCGGCATGCGAACCAAAAAGCGCGCGCATTTATTCTGACGGAAGCCGACTCGTGCGCGAACGGGCGCACGGATGGAGCCGCACACCTGAGGATTGATTGTTCACCGCTCGCGCAGGCAATATGTTGATCGCTGGAAAATTATTCCAACTTTGACGCGTGTTAATTGTGCATTTGGGCCGAACGAGCGATTAAACTTGGACAAGCTCGGCAAATTAAAATGAGAAGCAATTCAGATTGCGACTGTAAAAACAACATAATTGCATTCTTGGATAAAACTGCAACCAATCGACGTACAGGGGGAGGAAGGGCGGGGTAATTATTACTGCATGCTTACTAACAGTAAGTGTTCGTGCTTCGCTCGTAGATATCTCTTTAATTGCACAACATTGCCCTTTATCCATCACACCAATGTGATAGTTGACACAAAGGGCAGTGTGGTGGCGAGATGTTAACTCCCTCGCCTGGTACGCAGGAGGTCATGGGTTTGATCACGACCCTGACGCGTGTTGTATATTTGGGGTTTGCATGACCTCTCTCCCCGGGGTCGCGTGGATTTTTCTCCGGGTCCTCCGGTTTTCCCCTCCACATTTAGAAATATGCTTTTATGAGTATTTGGCTGATATAAATTTCCACGTGATAAGCCACTTCGTTGAGCTATCATTTGTGGTGACAGCCAGGTCGCTTCTGAAAAAGAGCTACATATCCGTGGGCCTTACCTGGTATAAAAAAAAACCACCAACATTTGAAATTATCAGGAATATTACATTATGCGACTGGCTGCAGAATTCATTTTAAATATATTTTTTTATCGAACACACATTGCTGGTTCCTCTTCAAACTAAGAAATATAAATTAAACCCACCACAAGTTACTGTGCTCGCTTAAAAAAAGAATTAAAAAAAGCAGAGCGCGCGAAAAATATTTAACATTCGGACTGTCGCGTACAGTACGTCGCGAATCTGACCGCTACATATCCCTCCCAACCAATGAACCGCCCACACCCAGTGCAATACTTGCACGGCCATGTCGTTTCCTACAGAGGTTCACGAATCTGACCTTTTCGCAAACAGTGATGTGTCCTTAATCTCGCGTACATTCGCTCATTTCTCAAGCACAGTCAAGCATCTCCCCGTGTGCAGAGAAGCGTCACGCGCTTTGTTAATGTCGAGTAACCTATTTGTTGACGGTGTTGTAACTGTCATTTTCTATAGATGTCCACATAACCAGCCTCAGCACGTGCAACGCATTGTAACGATAGTCGCCGTTTTCATCGCGACGTACGTAACCATGACTGTAGGATCTGTACCGCATAGTAACATCTGTGCTGTCGCAGGACGCCCATGAAATAATTGAGCCCAACAGGTTTATGGGCCCTTGCTGATGAAATAAAAAAAACATCTATCTCTCTAGACCTCAATCCTCAACGAGTGGAATACACATATACGACGCTGTGCCGTGGAAACGTAGATTGTGTGGAGAAAGCAAACGGGTTTCACGTTTATTTTCTTTCACCAGGTGATGACTCAAGAGACCACGATGAGTCTCATTGGTGAGGGTGACCAGGGTCACCGAAACAACAAAAGGCCAAAAACACTGAAGTACACAGCAACAAAGAAAACGGAAATCATAAACAAAAATAACCGTGCCCCCTTAGGAATGGAAAGGCACTGCACCAAACACAAACCAATGGCAAATAATGCATTCCCTGATCTGTTTGTTTGACGCAAAAAACGTCAAACAAATATACGATGATCAGGTACCAAACAGACATGGTGACGGAACAGACCGACTTTCTATAATAATCAGTGCTCCAATTGTCATATTACAGCGATACAAAAAAGCACGTGAAACAACTCCATCAATTTCTCACAGCAGAATCCACGTTCTGAACCGCTACGCTTTAAAAAAACATTCATGAAACAACAGAAAACAACAACCCAGCAAACACAAAGCGACTGGTGCCGTCACACTCGGGCAGCCTTGGCCACCACCACCACCACCACCCACCACGTTGGCGCGATCCACTGCCAGCGCGATGGGCACTGGGGTGGCGCTGGGCGGCACGCTACGACGATACGGGGGGGGGGGACGAGTGAACCCCCCATCCAGTCTGCATGTAAATTGCTTCATTACGATCGCCCGTGCTAGCACGAAGAGGTGGCCACAGAGAGAGCCACCGCTCCTCCCATCGGCCTCCGTAAATCAACACTGGGGGTCAGGCGGTCCGCGACGGGCGCATGCGACGTGAGCACACGTGACGCTAGCGCTGCTACCCCCCAAATCCCCAACTCCACTGCCCCCCCCCCCACTACCCACCCCTCTCAACACGTCCACGTTTTGGGGTACCACGTTTTATATGGAGTGCAAATGCCGATAGCATCTGATAATTCAGTAGCATTTGCTCAACAAGCCCGACTCTGCTGAAGGAACCCATAAGGTCAAGACAGGTCCTGATGTTGCTTGCTTAAACAAATGCTTCTTGATAATATTGGTCTGCAAAGCCAATACGAATAGGCAGATGAACTGAACATCGCACCGCCGGTTAGCACGGTTGGCTACGTAGGGTGCGAAAGAAGTTCAACGTACCCACAGGAGATAGAACAGAGTACTGCAAACATTTGCGTTCGGTATTTCAATCGAGAGTAACATGAGAGCTGAGCCAATGAGAATGGCCAAACGCCACGGGGAAGCACCCTCCTGAAAATAAACGGAAATGATCATAACTGCATTGGCCAGTGGCACACAAGCACAGATAAACGAAAACATCATTCAAAAAAATCATCAATAACACTGCCATGTAGACAAGAGAGAAAACATGTATATGTACAAAATGTTACATTTCAGTCAACGGCCATTCTTCATAGCAGACAGACAGGAGTCTTGACATTTATTTCAAAACTGTCCTGGATGAATGATAGAATCAGTGTCTCCCCCTCGCTGGTTAAACCCTCCACGAGACATTTTCCACTCCTATCGTTTTTGTTGTTATTGGTTGCCGTTGTAACTTGCCGACCCGCCGCCCCAATACAGGACGCCTGCGAAAAAGAGCTTCATGGCTCATCCGGATTCCTCCTCCAGCAGTCCAAGTAAAGATTCTGATTTCAACATTGGCAGCGCCTGCGGGAGGCCCAAGTCTGCATGTCGCAGGGATCTTTGGCGATGTGTACAAGGCTACAGGGCCCTCCTCTGTCAACCAGTTTGTGACCCGACCCCTCCATTTACAATGCACAGTAGACACGCCATGCTCTCTTCTTCCCTTTCCTTGTACCTCTTTGTTGTCATCTCTTCTCATTTTCCCGTCTTCACCCCCCCCCGCCCCCTCAGTTTACTTAGTACCAAAGCTCGCCTCCAATGTCCATAAATCACGAACGGGGATTACAGTGAAGTGTGTTCTGGCATGTACCCTCTTAATCATATAACCGTGCTTTCACCGCCGTGCATTTACACGGGATGCAACTTAAGTGGATTGCAAGCGAAATTGATTTCTTCTCTTATGAGTTTCCCCCGACGACACTCGCTGGCCCGCTTTCCAATGGACAACTAACAACATGACGTGTCGCTAACGTCAACGTCGCCTTTTTCACCTTTGGTGTTCTTGTCGCCGAAAAGAGAATTCCGAGCGGCGTCGTGTTTCTCGGGCGACGGTAGGGGCTCTGCGCTTGCCCGCTCGTCACTCCGAGGCAGTGGTATCGGTACTCCCGGCCATGTGCTGCTGCACTTGCTTAAAACCTCATTTATAAAGCAGCAGCAGCCGGCACACGTTCTTAAGTACTCGAGCCAACTCCGGTGCACAGAAGTCTGCGTGTGCAATTTTTTTTTTGCTAAACGGAGCGTGCCCTGTAGTCAATCAACATCGGTTATTAATGGGGGACCTTCGTCACAACCTATCACTGGTTCCCACCGCACAAGAAAACCCTTCTGTGACAATCGCAAAGTTACGTAAAATGTGCCCACGTGTTTTTTTACAACGCTTAATCCTTTAACCCAGGAGCTGTTGTGGGGAGGGGGGGGGGTAACCTTTTATTTACCTAGAGTCGAATAGGACTTTCAGATACCTTTAGTTGGCCACATATTAAACACACCTCAAAAATTATTTAGCACTGTTTGCATACGTACGACGCAAAAGAAGTTCAACGTACATACCTTTGCATTATTCGTAACAAGGTGAAAATCTATTTTTATTAATAATATAGGCTTGCTAAAGGCTCACCAGATCAAAATAACCCCCTCAACTGATTAGTGCTGCTGAGATGTGTGCAGGAGAAAGTAAATAGCCATTTTTAAGCGATCGGACTCGTGGCTACCGGTCACGTGAAATGCGAGTGACATTTTCCTACTCAAAGGCAAGACTGGAGCGCTCACAATCGCGGAGACTTTCCCACTTCACGATCCACACCGTTCAGGAGGCCACGTAAAGAGAGAGAGAGAGGCCAAACCACACAAAGGTTGACAACGTTCGTCACGATGAGGTCAGCGTGGCGAGCCTTCTCGCTTGCAGCGTCTGTCTACACATAACCCTGGCCTGTAAAGCCAGGAACATTGGCTTGAATCTTGACTTAAAGCTTTCGTGACTGCAGGAATGCCTATTCTTTGGGTCTTTTGGTTAAGTCACGAAAGACTCAAAGAACATTGGCTTGCTTCCTCATTTCTGCGGGGGGGGTGGGGGAGGGAGGGAGCTGACGTGGGTAGGCAAGAGCTGTCGTCGTGCGTGCGCACCGAGCGACACTCCCGGCAGGGCCCACGCCGCACCTGCTAGCGGTGCGAGAGATTCAAAGTGAGGAATTATGGGTGGAGGGGTGCCACCGTGGCTCATTGTTAACAATCTCGCCAAATTCTCGGTGCAAGGCCCACGAACACTTCGCAAGTTTCCATTGCAGGCGTCCCACTGTCGGTTGTGACGTGGCACCGCAGAAGTTAGATGTG